CGCACCTGCATTCAACTTCGCAATGCCCACAACGCCGTAGACAGTCTCACGCTCTTCCTGCGCAAGCGTTGGCGCGGGCGGCGAGTCGATTCGGATCTGGGCAGAACCGGAGCCGAGCGTCGACCGCGCAAAGACGAGCGTGTGTCGCTGCACGGACGCACTCGCATACACTGGCTCCAGGGTGAATGCGTCGCTCGTGGTGTACAAAGACAGGGCGTCATGGATGACAGTCATGTTTAATATTAAGTATTTTAAAGCTCAAAAACGGACCGACTAATTAGGATCATCCAGCCAATGATAAAGTAAAAAAGACACATTGGATACACTGCCAACGCCTTCCTGTTTCCCAGATTGACATCGTTCAGAAATCCCATCGATGCTGTTGTTTGGTGTTACAATCGCTTTAGTACAGCCCAGCGCCTCTCCCTCCTGTTTCGTGGGCCTCAAGCTATCCGAAGTAAGACTGAAAGACTGGGATGGAACGCACCCACTACGGACCAGCCAAACGCGCCGAGAACTATGATGCCGCGGGCCAGGATGGAGCTCACGAGCAGACCGACAATGGACGCGAGGACGAGGGGGAAGATGCAGTATCCGAGGACGCAAATGGTCTGAAAGATGGACAGCTTCGCGCCGAGCAGTTTCGAGTTGACAGTGACGATCGCGGCGCCGCCCCAAATGATGACAAAGATGGACGTGAACACTGCGGCGACTTGGGCGTCGGGGGCCGTGAGACTCAGGCGTCTGCCGTTTTACGGTGGAACGGTGTCAATGCGCTGCGGCGCTGGTTGGCGCGCACGAGGACCACTCAACAGCGACAGGCCGAGACACAGGAGCAGCGGCCCCCACAGATCCCCTTCGTTTGTGCGCGGGTTCAGTTTCACGGAACCAACGTAATTTGTACAATTTGTATACACACAGTCGCGGAGAACGTCCTTGGAGTCCTTCCGCGGCACCAGCACCAGCTTCAGCTTCTCCGCGATGGAGCGCAGGTCGCGCATCTGTTTACGTTCATGTGTTGCGGATTCAGGTGTACGTCCCCTTGCTGACAATACTCCACCATCGTGTCCATCACGGGTTCATCCAGGGTGTCAATGTACGGCTTTGAACCGCTAGTCGCGGTGTTGGCCGGTGATCCAGCATCCATGACAGAGTTGGAGACCAGAGATTGATTCATGGGTGCTCTCAAATACTTAAAAAAAAGATAGGACTTGAACAACACAAACAAATCCTTATTAAAACCAATTTATTCTAAAAAAACTCATGGCTTCGTCAGACATCCCTTGCTGAACTCATACACGGTCGCGGGCTTCCTGTGCAAAACGAGTTGCAAGTAATCAGCCAGAATCTCATGCAGTGCTGGGTGCTTGGAAACGTATTCTTCATGCAGTTTCTTCATTTTGGGCCTGGACGTAACGAAGGGGTCATTCGCGAAAATGATTGTTGAGCAGCTTTACCTTTCGCTGCTTGAATTCAGAGATGAGCTCCACGTTCCCTCCAAACTCGACTTCTTCCGAAGTATCGCTCGATGATGCTTCTATAGCTAAATTGCGGATCAAAGAAGGAAATCAAAAGTGTTTTGAAGAATGAAGAAGTATTTACCTAGTTTGGCACCACCAGCTCTTTCAGCGTACCAGTCCGTGGCATACAGACCTCCGTTTCCACTGACCCGCACATATGCTCCTTTGTGTGTAAGCTTGGCTTCCACTTCCCACCCTTCACTCGTTGTTTGCGACAATCCGTCAGACAAACTGATTGCCTTGTGCACAATCGCATTGAACGACGCGTCAAACTCAGTGCTAATGAGTGCTTCCCGAGCAATCGACGCCCGTCCACTCACTCCCGCATGCTGCAAGCTGCCACGATGTCCCGGCCCCGCAGTAAACATCGTCTCCACCTCCTGTTTCTCCACGCACACTCTGACAAGCGTCAACGGCTCCACCTTTCCCACACCGCCCCTTCCATCCCCCGGAGTCTGTACAGGCGTCACACCGGGGCTGACTTGAGCGCACTCGTAGCTCGCCTGGAAGAGTCCCTGTCCGGCAAACTTCTGCGCCACCACCACCTCCTATTCCTGAACACGCCATTGCGCCAGCAAGCGAAGTAGCACGCACCCGGCGTCATGTAGGAGCAGCTGATCGCGCTCAAAGGTGCTGGGCACATTTGTCTCGACAGGGCCTTCCAGCCCAGAGCGTGTCTCAGTGATGACGTACCGTCCGTCCTCGAGCACACACTCTGGCATCTCCTCAGATGTGCCGTTATCGGATGCCAGCGTGAGGGAGGTGTAGACGCTCTCGGTGAGGGTTTCGAGACGAGGGGTCACATAGCTGCTCACGGTGAGGACGGCGTGATGATCGTCAGCGTCAGTTTTGTGCTCGCGGAAGAGTGTGATGAAGTAGCAGGGTGTCTTTTGGTAGGTTGCTGGACTGATGTCGAGCGAGCTTTGTGTGACCAATGATAACAGTGGTGATTACGTTGTGGAGGGTGAGCTCTTCGGTGCAGCAAAAAGAGTGTAGTGATGTTCAAGGTTTAAATAATGCGGTGCATTGACTGATAAGCCTTAGACCTTGACACTTTTCGTTCTGGAGCAGTTCGCTGACTGTGATCATATTGGGCGCGTTAAAGGAGAGTTCCTCGGTATTGATTCGAAATATTGACCTTTAAATTGCTCTTGAAGTATGATGTCTGACAGAGTTGCAGGGCCGGAAGAGCAGGTGTCGATCAGGGGCTGCCATGAGTGACAATTCTCAGAATCAAAACTGATAGAAGCAACGAATGTTTGACGTACAAAGGATCTGTACGGATATTACTCATGTTTTCGCAGATTATAACGATAGGCGACTACCGCTGTATATGGCCACGTTCATCGCGTACCTATCTCCAATTCAGAATTGTGAGTGTCTCATAATTCCCTTGCTTGCGTCTTATCACACTTATTTAAATTTGGCAACCAGATATACGTTGGGAAGATAGATTCAAGAAGTATGGCAAATCCTCCGCTACACTCGCGCATCTTTTAGACGCCATGTTGGAAGTTGCTCGCTGCAAACGCGTGAAACCCATTCATGTCAAGCTTCTTAGGATTCTGTCGCGCATGGGTATGTTGCGTCCTTGCCTGTTTATTCTCTCTACGCATGACGAGAGTACTTCAATACCTAAGGCGCGCGTGTTTTTTTTGGACTCATTCAACAATCCCCCCACAAACACAATACCTAACTTGTGAAACATAACAGAAGAAACAGCCACCTCCTTCGTGAACGCCGACGGGATCGACCTGATATTCCAGATTCTCACCTCCCATCCAGAAAGCACCAGCATCCAAATCGATTGCAGCGCGGTGATCGCGAACCTCAGCAACGTTGCTCGCGCGCGCACCTACATCCAAGAACGCAGCACCTACCTCCCCACGCTCCTCGCCAACATGCGCAAGTGGGCTGCGGAAGAGACGGTGCAGACCGAGATGTGCGCCATCATCAGCAACCTCGCGCAGAGCGAGGACAACGGGTGCGTGATTGTGCGCGGGGGCGGGTTTGAGCTGATCCGACGGGCGATGGCGCGGCACCGCGAGGCCGAGGACCTCCATGTGCAGGGGTTGAATGCGATGGCGGCGTTGGCCAAGAATGCGAAGCGGCTGTTGGCGGCAGGCGACGTGGCCGAGTTCACGGAATGCGTTGTTGCGGCGTTGGAGGCATGGCGCGAGAGCGTCCAGGTGTGCAGTGCTGCGTGCAACTGCATCGGCATGTTTTCCTTTGTGGGGCTGAGCGTTGGGAGTTCGGTGGAGCGCGCTATTTGGCTGGCCATGCGACGCTTTCATGCGTCCGTCAAGTTTCAAATCACGGCGTGCTTCGCGCTTGGGCATTTGGTCATTTGTCTGAACAAGCAGACAAGCATGGACCGCGTGCTGATTGATCAGCTCCTGAAAGTCATTGTGACGTGTCCCCACAATCGGAACGTCCTTACCACTGCCATCTTTGCGCTGGGCTCGTATGCTCTGCAGTCAGGTATCTTTACTTGTTAGCCGTTCCCTTACCGCTTTGTCTTATTTTTCTTAGAGGAAAACCGTTTTAGCATTGTCGAGAAAGGCGGGGTCGAGCTCATCATCAAGGCCATGCTCGAGACTCAATTTGATGAAGAAGCAAACTGTCTTGAAGTTTGCATGAAGCACATGAGCATTCACGAGGGGTCGCATGACAGTCCCCAGACCAACTCCACAGTGGCCTCAAAGCTTCACTTGCTCAAGCTTTTTGGATCCATGTGTCTTATGAACATCTCTGAGAACGGTAGCTACTATCCATCTCTGCATACCCTCAGACTGATTCCCTTCCCAGAAAAATGCCGCCTCGAGGTTGTTCACAAGGGAGGAATTCACGCCGTATTTGAAGCCGCAAAGTACATTCATGAAACGAACAACGTTGACCTCAACTTTGTTATCATGTACGTGTTTCGCAAGGTGACTGCAACCGGGGCTCGCGTTTATCTCAAGCGGACCAAAATGGCCACACTCAAAACGCTTTGCAAGAATGTGTTCTTGAAGTCTGCGAACGCCCGCTTTGACGCGGGGAAGGTGACATCTCTTCGTGAATCCACTTGAAAGACTGATGCAAAGTTTATAGCCCCCCTTCGAATCATTTTCCGACTATCTCCCACAGTCAATGCAAGTCACAGAGATCATGACATGCTTCTTATCTACCTATGCAGTATGCTGTTCATGCCAATACGCGTTCGATGAAAAATCCGGCGTTACAGCCTATGAAGTATTCGGAAAGGAAAAGCCTGTCATGACTCAATTATGCTCGCAAACTTGTTTGAATAACTTTGCAGATAAACCTGCGAACAAAAGGTTGATACTTGTGAGGCCTTGTTTCGAAGATGAGTAAAATTACAGGAATATACTTGTTTGAATATGCCAGGCCTTCTCAGAAGCTTACTATTTTGTGGCATACTTCTCCCATACTTCCAGGCTGATAAAGTAATTTAGGAATTTGCTCACTTTCAAAATGCTCCCATACGGGGAATCGAACCCCGACCACCGCCGTGAAAGGGCGGGATCCTAACCGTTGGACTATATGGGACCTGAACATTCTTGCTGTTTGAATAAATTCAGATCGCACGTGGCTTTGAAGGTTTATTTACTAAAAGTGATCAGACAGATCAAGTTTGCTGCTTGCCAGAAACATAGCAAAGACATAGACCATCTGCGATATCATTTCATTTTAATCCTCCCTTTTAAAATACGCAAATGAGCACACTATCCCTGCTTCCGACAGCCGCTGCGGGGCTCGCCATCATTGTTCTTGTCCTTGTGTGGATCCTGTGGAGCGGCACCAACCTGCTCAGGTGCCCAATCGACTGGAAGCAGGAGACTGTGCTTGTGACGGGGGGTGGGTGCCCTGACCACGGAACGGGTTGATCACGCCCTGACTCAGAACTAGGATCGCAGGGCCTTGGCCTCGAATTTGTGCAACAAGTTCTCGCGAGACACGACCCGAGACACATGGTTGTGCTCGGAATCAAGCGACCGCAGGTTCCCTTCGCCAAAGGTAATCTCAGTCTCAGCTCCAATGCACCTTGCTGAATCCCAGCGTTCGCCAGACAAGGTCACATTCTACGAATGCGACGTGGCAGAGTTTGAGACTGTGAAGCGAGTGGGCGAGGCAGTCCTGCGCGAGGTTCTTTTGACGTCCAGCCGCCTTCCACTCATACAACTTCGGGCGCCAGGTTGGAGCTCCCACGATCGTCATCAACAATGCTGGCATTCTCGGAGGAAAGCGGTTTGTGGACTTGGACCCGGCAACGATTGAGCGGTGAGCGCGCCCCCTTCACAGTCGGATATGAGCTAAACGTCCAGTTCCGTATCAAAACCAGAGTGATCAAAGTCAACCTATTGGGCCCTATGTGGGTCACCAAAGTCTTCCTGCCCTCCATGCTGGAACGGAATCATGGCCACATTGTGAGTTCATGTTTCTCAACGCGTCGTGGCCCTGGAGGTCAGATAATGATTCAAGTTCATTCCAGATTAATGTGTGCTCTGCTTTGAGTTTGAGTGGTTCCAGCGGTGTCAGTTGAGTTTCAGCATTGGGTTTCGCCACGTCTGAAATCTGAACTTCAACCATGAAAATAGCCGAATACTGCGCATCTAAGTTTGGTCTTTCCGGCTTCACAGAATCTCTCATCCAAGAAACGAAACACACGTAAATGACTCCTTCATTTAACACCTCCCATTGACGCAACTTTTTTCACACAGGAACGTCCGTGTGAGCGCCATCTTCCCCGGTCTCATCAGCACGAGTCTCTTCCGCGGCGTCGCATATCGATACCCGAGCCTGTTTCCCACGCTACACGCGCGTGATGTGGCGGCCGCAATACGCTGGATCGTGGAGAACGATGCGAGCGTCGAGCTCGTCTTGCCCTGGATTGCGAACTTGGGGAGGGCGATGAAGGTGTTTCCTGTCGCGGTGCAGGGCCTGATTAAGGATGTAAGTTTGGGCCTTTGTTCATGAATGGGGTTTGAACTGACGGACTTATTTTTTGTTTGACGTGCAGTTGATTGGAGCCAATTCAAGTATGGACACGTACAAGCGCGCAGATTGATTTAATACATTCTTTGTGAACGCAAAGTTGAATATACAATATTGACAACCTAGTTGTTCTCAAAACGGCAAACCGGCCGCCCTCATTCTCAACCGATACATTCGCACCAGCTCATGCTCCACTTCATTCCGCACATCCGTCGCACCTGCCGCCCCCGAAGTAGAAGTCTCCCCATTCAGAACCGCGTCCGGCGTCGATGACAAGCCGCCCAACCGCTCCAAATCCCGCACCACCTCTTCACGCGTCCCCGCATACCGCGCTTTCATGACCTCTAGACACGCCATCGCCTCGCGCATCTGCGTCACGTTGGCGGGCGCGTCCAGCGCGTGCGCACACGCGAGCGCCTCCTCGTAAGTCGCAAGCTGGGATTGCAAGGAGGGAGCCGGAGTCGGGTACAGGGTTGCGAGGAGCGAGTTGCCAGGCGAAGTTGGCGCACCCAGGGTTGCCCCTGTGAGGTTTTGGTCGGAGAGGATAGGGTCCGTGTGCAAGCTTTGGAGAATGGCGATTGAGTGGGTGAGGCTAGGTCTCGGAAGTAATGGGAGATCGATGGCGACGAGGTGGAACGCATTCTGCTTTTTGTGGAGAAAGTGGAAGAGGGTTATGGGGTCCTGAAGAGACTGTGTCGCGCATTCGGGGAGGGTTGTGGAGACGAGCGTGTTGAATCTGGCTGAAAATCGAGCGTGAGTTGTCCGGGGGGGTCCAAACTGGAGGGGAACTGTTTTACCTGGGGTGATTCTGATGCGCGGAAGGGGACGACCCGCGTCCAGATCGCGTTCGCACTGGTCTTTGTAGAACAAGTAGAGGGCATACAGGACGGCGACGTGGATGGTGAGCGAGTCTGCGTCGAGCCACTCGAGCCAGGCAGCCGCAATGTGGTCAAACAGAATGTGGTTCCTCGGTGACGTGGAGGCCGCCTCTGACAGCAGAGCCAGCTGAACGGCGCTGAAGCGGTCGAAGGCGTCCCGTTTGAAGCGCTTTAGCGTGGGCTGCTTGCGAGGAGAGTGCTGTCCACACCGGCTTCAGCGACGCACGCACGCATGAACCCGCTTCGCAGTCTCTCACCAGAAAGGCGCCGAGCAGGAACCCGACATCCGAGGCCAGCGCAGGCAGCGACACGCTCGCACTGTCGCCGAGGACCACGAACGGCGCGTTCATGACTGTAGATTGGAGGGACCCAGGCTGCCGTCGAGGGTGTCAATAAAAAGTTCATGGATTCTCACAGAAGTGATGGGAAAGCCCATCGTCACTTCCAGCTTTCTGAGAGTAGGCTGATACGAGTGGGCAAACTGCCAGGAGGGGGATGCATCTTCGGCGGGCAACGCATTGCCACTTTGCCACTTGGCCGCGTGCATCGATGAATTCCATTGTCACTGACGTCGTATATTACAAATACCAACAACGCAAAATGGCCCAGCGTGGAAAGAATGCAAGATATTATCAGAAGACTCAATGAACAGCTTTTGGCACGGAACATCGTTCTCAACGTCTCAAAACCTAAAAGCAAGCAAGCATTTGACAGTCACGATAACGCTACCATGTCCAAGGCTCACGCTGAAGGTCCAATATCCAAGTCAACAAATAGGGACGCGAGCGCCACACTTGCCATCAACCCGTCCCCTGCCTCCTCCACTGCAACAGTTGCCCTCACACTCAACCTGATCTGACAATACACCACAACCTCCCGCTTGCATGGCAGAAACATGCAAAATACATACGAGCGAGAGAACGACGGACAAACAACCGCTTTCACGAATCGCATTAAGCGACGTTGGAGCGACGCGTGCGCAGAAACGTAAAGAGCAGAGGTTGTTGCCGCGACGTTCTTGATGCTGCGTCGTATTCACCGCGCTTTCCTTTTTGCTGGATTGCGGCGGTGGCAAGTGTGAGCAACGGCAGAAGCAAATAGTGGGTGCGGCTATGTGGCTTGCATCTCCCCCAGCTTAACTTCAGCGAACGAACGAACAACGGCCGAGCAATGAGTTTCAATCGTATTCGCGCGGTGCATGGAATGCTGTTACCAGTGATTTGCATGATCCCCGTCCCCTTCTCCTCTCGCTCACACTGCGATCACCCCCTGCTGCCTGGATTGATGACACGCCCATTAGCTGAGGGCTTCTTTTACAGCCCAAGAAACTACAACACAAATACTTCCTCTGTTTTAAGTAATAATTACGATTACCATGTACTCATCCAAAACCATAGAGTTGGAACTGGTATACTTGAAGATTGACGCATACGGCATAGCTCTTCTGACATATTTTATGTGAATATTTGATTCCCTAACCATCTTCGTTTCTGATCACTTTGATTGATTTTTATTGTTTCTCTTGGTGACCCCCCCGACATCGCGCCCGACACTCTTCCCTCGCGGGAAAGTACACTATTGATTTTCAATTGTGGTCGTCTCCACTGCGGCGTCTAATAAAAATATTGTACTTTGATTGTTCGTGCGCAAATGTGTTGGTTCACAGTCGTAAACAAAACAATAGACCAATCAGATTGCGAGAAAAATTACATAACGCAACACATAACCATTATTTTCATCCAATTCAACATTTATTTCATTTTCTTATAATATAAGTGAAGTGCGTTATATCAACACTGAAACAGTTGTTTGCGTGCCTTTGACAGATTGCCTGTCCCTGACCAAGTCGATAACTCGAGCGATGACTCCAGTGAGGGAACTTTGGTTGCTCCGGCTCCGTCTAAGCAACCTACTCTGTCAGCAGAATATGTAACTACAAGCGAAAGTGATAATCATTCAGTACCTGCGAACTCGTCCACGAACTCAGATTTTTCAGCAGCTTCTAATGAAACTTCGTCTTCACAAGTGTCCAAGATTTCTATAGAACCATTTCGACTTAGGTCAAAAAAGGCTTCTTCAGCCAATAACCAGGATGTTGATGAACTTACGACGCGCACGAGGAAATTGGATGTTGACACGTTTGCCAGCGCCAAACTGTTCCTTGCGAAAGTTGGACCAATGGCTATAAATCGGTTCCCAACATCCCAGAAGGATCTCGCGACAGCCTTTGAATCAGATGCTCAGAAAGCAGATGCGAATCTACGGACAAAAAGTAAAACTCCCAGGAGAAATCAGAAAGGTACTGTATTATGTTGGCGCAAACGGTATGTCTTGAATCCAAAACAAATGAGCACCGATTTAAAATCGCGGAGACTCTGCTTTTGTTACAGGAGGAATTTCGTGAACAGAAAACAACAACAAAGGCTGAGCAGTTTATGGATTTTTTAGTACACATTGATGCTGAGTTTAGTCTAAAACGAGCGTCGTTTTACATTTACCGAACTTTTCACGCATTTCTGACAGAGTATCCGAGATTCAAGATCCTGCCATTTTTGTTAACATTGATTCGCGATGATTTGAAGAGCGTAAAGCTTTTCTTTGACAGTACCGAAAGCAAGTCCTTGGAAGCTGACAATTATCTTTGCGGTACGTTCTGGAAAGTATCTCCAGATACTC